AATCACGTTCATTGGCGTCGTAGTAAAAAAAACTACGCTCAACTCCCATGGGAGGGTAAAGCCCCAGAGCCAGTGTTACTTGGCTGCGCTCATACTCACAAGAATACAAATTTAGACCCTTGACCCTAACCTTAAGTTCGGCGACTCACTGAGCTCGGATGGATATCGCAGGTCTAGATGGCCTTAAAAATCTGCAAATTACAAAGTATGAGGTACAACGCACAAACCTCAGCAACATGGCGATGGGTACCCACTACATCTGCATGCATTCGTGGGTGGGGCGTGCAGTGTGCAAGTATGGCAGCAGCCATGCCAACCATCACTGAAATCAACATTATTTTTGTAGTTTTCCACCGAGAGATGTCCGCTCTTGAAGCTTTACCACGCCAATTTTCCAAAACACTTGCCACCGCTGCCCACAATAGATATCATTCATAACCTGGCTGCCTACCTACACGCTGGGCTACAAAGCTTGCACATTAGCCCTACTGGGTCTCCTCACATCAAACAGGCTGCAGAGCTTTTCACATCCCGTAGTCCGCAGTCCCCACATGCTGCCCACATTACCACGTGACAACTTGAAAATAAAACGAGCGAGTCTCAACGAAGTCATGTGTTGTACCATGCAAATTACCATCTATGCTTCAAGTTTCCAATCTACTGCTGGCACGGATTCTCCGGCTGGATGTTGGTGGTGGTGGTAGTTTGGTATTTTAGGGAGCATCGGCTGCAAATGATCATACAACGCCCATAACTGTTGTGCGATGCAGCAGAGTTGTGATCCAAACTGGTGGTTTATATGCTAAAAATAAGCAACCAAAAGACTGAGACACGCATGGCGTGAGGGCAAAAAACATCACAGTTAAATATACGGAAGAGAAAAACCGAAAATTGTCGAGCTTCGAAAACGCTAGATTCATCATCTAAGATGTCGGCTGGTGTAACGTTTGGGCGTTCCGTCCCAAAAATTAGTCCAGGACAAGCGATCAGCACGTGATGCACAGTTAGCAGGCTGCCGCATCAAAAGCAGCGTTGGCTATCACGGCTATCATCAGTAAATAGCAGATGACGGTGGGCTGCAGGAGCGTGTCCTATGCGTAGGCTGCAAAGAGCAGCTTCATCTCTTCTTTCTTTGTGGAAAGACGACCGCCGCAGTACGATGCGCGATTTGACGACCCTCAGCTTGTTGCTACGCGAATCCCAGTGGTACTGCTCTAGCTTCCGCATAACAGATAAAGAGACTGGACACATGTCCTTGGCAAGCAGCGGTGTAATGTGGTATGCGCGTCCCTTGCGTAGTGCGTTTGGGTGCTGCGTCGGCGAGATCATTTCCGGTGATCCCCACGTGGCTTGGGATTCAACATAATGCGACCGTTTTTCCCGCCCAATTCAGTGAAATAGGACGAGAAAGAATACCTCCAACAAACGGGTTAGAAAGACACGAGCCAAAGTTAGCCCCCTCCCCCCAAAAAAATCGCTCAATGAGTCACACAGGTTCAAACGTAAATAATGCTGCCAGGTTCTATAAAACAGAGAGGTTTGATGATGCCTATCAGTTCCATGAGTAGACGGATGTATTGGCATGTAGCGTGAATGAGAGTGTTACGGGGTCCACGCACCAAGGCACAACCTACGCTTGCATCCGTTTTGGAACCGTATGTGCAAGCTGTCGTGCAGCTGTGACAGGAAGGTAGGTGTTCCAGAGCTTTACTTTAAAATTCAGTCATAGTGCATTTTGTTTCGCGTGTTTGTTAACGATACATCAACCATCGCCGATGCAAGCTCCCAAGGAGGGGTCGGCACCAGGCTAGACCTGATAACACGCCTAAAGCCTAGGCTACTTTCGTCCAGGAGCTCTCGAATTCGTAGGCAAAAAGAAGCTTGTCGTAAGCGTCGCTGTTGAAGGAGGTTTAGCATGCTACGCAAGAACACAGCAAGTCGAATGATGTGGGAGCTACGACAGCCCACACGCGTGGCGCAGTCCCAGGATTTGTGCCTGCACATTGCTATTTGAGGCTTGTGAGCCTCCACCAGAAGGCTTCGAAAGGGTGGGCGGTGTGCAGCAAGCCCCTATATCGATACGGGGCTCGGCGTAGTGAACAGTGTTTAGGGTGCGTTTGGTTAAGTCTCGCGCACCATCGCAGCTAAAGCAACCATAGTCAGATTTGGAACGGATGAGGGAGCGGTAGAGAAGTAAAAGAGCACTCCCGTCCACACCGTACGACGTACGTCCTTCGCACTTCAGTATGCTCATGGATTTGAGACATTTGTCTCTTAGGTTTTACTATGCTCTCGGTACGTTAAGCGTCGATCAAGCTGCATACCGAGGAATTTCATCGCACGTCACCGCAGAGGAAGCCGCGTCCGGCGCTTGGTCTGTTTCCTAGAGACAAATAGCCGCCGGACAGGTCTGTTTAAAACTGCCTGCAGGTGCTGGCTAATGGACTTTAAACCCGTATAGTTCCATTGCAAAACTGACTAAATTTAGTTACATTAAGTTATAACAGCAAAATCTCAGAAGTCAGCAGCACCGTTAATCGGCGTCAGGTGGTCGGCTCCTTCAGAAAGATACGCTCCCATCGGAACCGGACGGACACTGGAGCGGACCCGAGGGATACCGCCATCCGTCGACGATGTGGGCCAAGGCGGGCCACGCTCCTCCGCGCGCCCCGTTCCTACACACGGACTGCACGGGAGCAACGGCCCGGGGTGACGGAGATTGAGGAGAACCCACGATTGGGTTTCTTCGAGAATTGGAGGAGTGAGCCTCCACACGCCTTCTTGGCGGTGGGACAAACTCCCCGGCCGTCTTTTCCCCCGCTCCTGGTTGACCAGGCGCGCCTGCTTGGTCTAACGGGCGCGCCTGCCCGTTTCGTGACGTTCCCGTGTCTTCAACGCTCGTACACAGACACTCGTCAAGGTTGACTTTCCAATGGAATCAACCGGTGCATGAACGGTCGGCGGCGACGAAGGCTTCGGCCGCCGTCCAGTCACCGTCTCATGCCGCCGCCGACAAAACCTCCGGAGGCGGCGAGTCGGCAACACAGTTTCCACCCACTGTCCCGACGGCGAGGGGGTGTCTGGGCCACCGATCGGGAGTGTGGAGCAGTGCTCCTAATAATAATAATCACCTCACAGAAACCAGAAAAGCGACGGGCGCGTGCTAAGGCCAAAGTTGCGCAATGGTTGCGTAAAAGGCTATCAGAGAATTGAGGTGGTGTTAAACAACATATCGGAGAGATATGTTCCGATGACCTTAAGAGCAGGGGTACACAGGTCAGTTGTGATCACAACCCCCTGAGTCAGTTGTGATACAGCGATGGTCTGACCAGCTCTCGTGTGATCGCGTCATATATGGTAAGTGCTAGGTACTTACGTCGCGTAAGTACCTAGCACTGATGTCAGAGTACTTACGTGAACGTGCCGGATGACCATGGTAATCGCTGGATCAGTGGTCAATTTCCACCACACCGTCGTAAAGCGTCCCCCTGAGACTATCAATTACAGGTAGACTCACCTCGGCCGGGCACGACCTTGCACAAGTCAAAGTAATGACCCAGGCCGCAGGGCACGACCTCGCACAGGTCGAGATAATGGTCCAGGCCGCAGGGCACGGCGTTGATCCGCTGTGGCTCGGAGACTGGCGCCGCCACTGTTCAACCAGTGATGCATTCGGATCGGGTCCTGATGGCGTGACAAGGGTCGCGTAAGGAAGGAATAGATGCTTCGCTGTATTGGGAGAGACCTTATAAATTAGTTCCTAATACATCATGAACCATTTCATGCAACAAGTAAAAGCTCTTTATAACCCATTCCTTTATGGTAGAAGTGGTAGGTAGAAGACAGCAATGGACGGCAATTGCTGTCTTCTACATATGGAAGAAGACAGCAATGTCCCTGACGATGCGAATCTAAAGCCAGATAACCCTATCTGGCGATTGTCGTCTCAACCAGTCGGTCTCAACCCCCCCGCCTCCAGTCGGCCTCAACAACCACTCCCCTAGCCTGTCGGCCTCAGCCACTCTCTAACTAGTGGGCCTTAGCCCCCCCCCCCCCCCAGCTCCTAACCAGTCGGCTTCACCCTCTCTCCTAACGAGTCGGTCTCACCCCCCCCCCCCCCCCCCCCCCCCTCCACAACCAGCTGGCCTCAGCCCCGTTCCCTAACCAGTTTGCCTCCGCACCTCCTAACGAGTCAATCTACGAATCCCCAAAACAGTTGTCCTCCGCGCCCCCCCCCCCAACCAGTCGGCCTCCGTACCCTTCAACAGTCGGCCTCAGTTCCCGTCCCTAACCAGTCGGCCTCTGCACCCTCTACGCAGTCGGCCTCAGTTCCCGTCCCTAATCAGTCGGCCTCCGTACCCTCCAACAGTCGGCCTCAGTTCCCCGTCCCTAATCAGTCGGCCTCCGTACCCTCCGACAGTCGGCCTCAGTTCCCCGTCCCTAATCAGTCGGGCCTCCGTACCCTCCAACAGTCGGCCTCAGTTCCCCCGTCCCTAATCAGTCGGCCTCGTACCCTCCAACAGTCGGCCTCAGTTCCCGTCCCTAATCAGTCGGCCTCCGTACCCTCCAACAGTCGGCCTCAGTTCCCCGTCCCTATCAGTCGGCCTCCGTACCCTCCAACAGTCGGCCTCAGTTCCCCGTCCCTAATCAGTCGGCCTCCGTACCCTCCAACAGTCGGCCTCAGTTCCCGTCCCTAATCAGTCGGCCTCCGTACCCTCCAACAGTCGGCCTCAGTTCCCCGTCCCTAATCAGTCGGCCTCCGTACCCTCCAACAGTCGGCCTCAGTTCCCCGTCCCTAATCAGTCGGCCTCCGTACCCTCCAACAGTCGGCCTCAGTTTCCCCGTCCCTAATCAGTCGGCCTCCGTACCCTCCAACAGTCAGCCTCAGTTCCCCGTCCCTAATCAGTCGGGCCTCTGCACCGTCCTACGCAAGTCGGCCTCAGCCCCCCCCCCCCCCCCCCCCCCCATCCCTCTGACCGCGGGTTTGTATGCCTGGACAGGGCCGGACGTCAGTGAAGAAGAGCTGCTACTCGCCGCTGTGGAACCAACAGATCGTCTTCACCGAGATGTTCCTCCGCTCTGCCAAGCGCATCAAGATCCAGCTGAAGGACATGGACAAAACCGTCAACGACACGCTCATCGGCACACCACTTCCTCGACCTCAATACCATCAGCAACGACGGCGAAAAGGGTAAGGGTCTTGAGGCAACGACATATAAACTGAATATTTCCGGTCACCAATCAGTGCGGAGATGATGGTGTTCGGCTGTATTAGTCACAAGACCTTGCACAGTCCTTCGACAGTCGTAGCACGCTTCAGTCTTAACGAACAGATATTAAGGTGAAGACACTTAAGATTGGTATCCATTATGCGCGCATACATACAGCCGCTGTCTACATGCATACGCTTCAGTCTTAACGAACATATATTAAGGTTAAGACACTTAAGATTAGTATCCATTTTGCGCGCATACATGCAGCTGCTGTCTACATGCATACAGCAGCTATGCTATTGTACGGCACATCTGGTTTCAGGTTTTCTCCCTACCTTCGGACCTGCTTTTGTTCACTTGTATGGTTCTACTCGCGACTACATGTTCCCGGGATTCGACGAGCATTCATCACTCAATAACGGAATAGGTGAGAAGCAAACTGCTGGGGCTATGTGGCGCCGCCTGCCTCTCACCCCGACGGGGAAGGCGGGCACAGCGGGGAATCGAACCCCGTACCCTCCGTCTTCCCGGACAAACAGTGGTTACGCAAATGCGTTATCCACAACACTATTGACTCCCTAAGCGCCGTTAACCAAAGCGCTTCGGCCAAAGGCTTGTACGTGTAATGTACACATACCCTAGCATGCTTCGCTCGAATTTCCCACCATGGGACTCTGGCCGCCCAAATTTGTCCGTTGAAGGCACTTCCTATTCGAAGTATCATATTCAAACCAGGCTTTCCCTCAGGATTTAGTTTGACTCCTCCAATCCTGCTTGTCCTCCAGTCTCAGAGGTAGGGCTACACCCATGGCCACAATGAAAATATGGCGTTCTTGCCTCTCATAGGGCTTGCGCTAGGGCCAAACACTGCAACAATTTTCACCGTGAAGAAAACAACGTCGAAAAGCATGAGATGAGTCAGGCGACCTTGCCACCGTTTTTCATTCTGCTCTGCTCTCGTTTACTGCGTCGCAACACAAGGCGCACGTTACGAGTACCTCGACTCAGGGATGGAATGGGCCTGCGGGAGCCCGGAAAGCACGGTCGATCCCGTTCCCCCTCCGTCCCGAAGGCCAGTCTGAGGTCATCAGGCTCGGACATCCGTCCAATCAGCCCGCTTCGCCATATATGGTGCGGTAGGGACTCTGAACCCATTCATTCTGAGGGTTTATAGTGGCTGGAATGGTTCCGGCTCAGCGTCCCTGACATCGGTCACTTCCATTGCCAACCAGGGCCTGGTAGAAGCTAGTGGGCGTGCCCCGGACAGTGACGAAAGAAGCGCTTGTGCGTCGGCTGATGACGATCACAGTTTCAAACCAACGGGCGCGCCAGTCCCTGCATTTCTTATCAGTCCATACATGAAATATTTGCTTTATACGAAGTAACGCGCATGCGGTTTTCTTCCCCTTGTTAGTTTGTTGGATGAATGGGTCGGTTAGCTATGACTGGTTGGATTGCCGTTCGCCTGCAGAATGCTGGCAAGTCCCTGCTGTCCGTAACAGGACTGACGCGCTCATGCAGTACGGAAGAACGATGCTGGTACCAGCCCATGCCCCAGACGTGCTGATGACTCAGCGTGCCTGACCGTCCTGACGGAGCTGGCTGTAAATGTTGAAAACGTTGTGAATGATAGGAAACCTTACGTCGCATGTACGTTTTTCATTTGGCTTAAAACGAACATTCTTTTGCGGAGCAGACAGACGTGGGTGACTGGAAGCAGGGTGCCTGCTAAACGAGGCTTGGATGAATGGCTCGTGTGAGCTTCTCACACCCCACGAGTTGTGAGATTCATGATAATATTACGCTAGCTTGCCAGTCCAAAAGTACTGAGGAATGTTTATCGTACTGTATCGAATATTGCGTCCCTGTGCTAGCCGTCCATGGGTAATACCTCTGTCGCCACGATCGGCTGTGACAGGAAGCTATTATGAAACGCATACACAACTACAGCAGGAGTCTGCTGACGATTGCGATAACACTCGCCGTGTCTCTCCAAGCTGGCCCACACACCGATCTGATAGCAGCTTCCCGCTCTCGGTGTTGCGTGACTCACCATATGTGTTTAAAAACGATCAAATATTTTGTTAATTGGCCCACATCACCATCCATAACCGTGCAAGGGTGCACGTATATCTAAATATATCAGCCATTGCGGTTGCGCCGTTCTTTCTCTTCCTTTCTCTGTCCATATGTCCGCCTATCGCCGCTATTCCCAGCACCGGCTGCGCACAACCCGTTGTCATTTGGCACGCAAATGACACGCACAGATGACACACACACACACACACACACCACACACACACCACACACACACACACACCACACACACACACACACACACACACACACACACACACAACACACACACACACACACACACACACACACACACAACACCACACACACACACACACACACACACACACACACACACACACACACACACACATACAGATGCATTTAACTTTACGAACATTGTAGTGATATCGCCACGGCTGCCAGCGGCGCCGCTCTCCTGCAGGAGTGCCCCTCCCCCCCCCCCCCCCCCCTGTTCGTCCCGCCGCGCCACCAATTGGTTCGCTGCCACATTTCGCTGCTGGTTGCATGTAAAGACGTGGTTATTTGGATTAGGGCCCTTTTGACCTGTGGTGATGATTTCAGTGCCATGGGATGAATAAAAATGGGTGACGGTTAGGCGGGACTACATGCGCCTAGGGATTAGGACTGCATGCGCCCGAGGACCCACTCGAGACAAACCCCGCGCAGGGATCCCTCTGCGGGGCGTGCACTTGGCCTTCGGACGGAGGCCTCCACCATGGGCCCTTCAGTCCATTTGTGGCTGGCGCATGCAGCCTGCCGCGACAAGCAGGATGTTGCCAGGATGCAGGATTGCGCAGGGAAGATAATACAACGGCGGATGGTCGAAAGCGAGCCGCGTTTCACCATCAAATAACTTAAGAATAGGGCCTCAACCAAAAATGGTAATGCACGTAAGAAAGATTCTGTCACGAAAAATGTACAAGAAGACCGCGAGTAAAGGTTAAAACACGTGCGCATACACTCGCACGTTGGGTTCACACGCATAACCAACGCCACCTTGCAGTGTGTTGAGGTATCGGAAGTGTGCCACGCCGTTCGCTACAGCGGCAACTCTGATGCGGCAATTCGGGCAGCGGATCTGACATCACAAATACGTTCCATGACGTCATAATACGATGACGTGATGGAGACCATGTTTTGTAAGACGTGTAATCTTGGTATTTCAAGCAGTTTGCACAAAATAGACTACAACTAGTTACAAGTGAGCTTTTTCATCACACCTTATGCTTGTCCCAGATCTTCAAATTGAAGGTTTCTTGAATTTGTGATGCTGGTATTTAAGTATAACTTAATTTGCACCTTCGCAAAATTTTCTCAACGATGCTATTTGTCCAAATAATAATTCACCGAAAGAACAGCACCACAACTGACAGCTCCAGTCTGAATCTCGCGGCCGTGGTCTACGCGCGTGCGACGTTCTGATTTGTATGCCACTCTTACGTCAGGTCACGTGGCCTGTAACGTCATCAACGAATGTTACCCTCACCGAATTACGACCGTTCCAGATCCTTCTCTGTGTCTGTCTTACTCCCCCTCCTCCTCCCCCAAAGGCTTTTTCACATACTCGCTCTGCTCACTCCCTCCTACTTCCTGCTCGTAATTTGACATCCTTGACACTTACATGCCATTGACCACACATCCTTTTCTGGGGAAAACAAAATCGGGGACTTTACTTCCGATTTTCATTGGAAGATCCGGCTGGCGCGATCTCTGACAGTCAATCGTTTCCGTCTCACGTCTGGCCTGGCTACCGCGCCATCTGGCGGCGCCGGCTGGAGGGCCGTGCTCGCCGCCGCGCCTCGGCTGGAGGGCCGTGCTCGCCGCCGCGCCTCGGCTGGAGGGCCCGTGCTCGCCGCCGCGCCTCGGCTGGAGGGGCCCGTGCTCGCCGCCGGCGCCTCGACGCGCTCCACCGACTGTCCCGGATCCGTGGCCGCCGCTAGCGACGCTCGGGGCGCGACGCTTACGTCTTGTGGCGCGCCGTGCTGCGGGCGTTCCGGGAAGGCGGTGAGTGGCCGGGTCAAGCCGGCGCTGACCGCCGCAGCCGCGCCGAATCTGCTTCGCTGGCAGCTTTGCGGATCAGTGCGTCGTGGATAGGCCCGGCGTCACTGAGGACGAATGAGGCCGGGCTAATTTGGCTTGGCCGCACGGCTGCCCCGGCCCAGCGTCTCAGTCGCGAGTTGCCTGCTATTGATGCCATTTGCATCCCTCGCACCCAGACACACCATGGCAATGGTGACGTTTGAATGGGCCATGCTATTTAATGTTCTATAAACCTAAGTATTTTCTGGTGTAGTGAGCTCCGCTTTGAGAATCTCGCGCTGAGCCTAAGGTGTATCTGTGAAGATTTTATGTAAGCTTCGTAGAGATCTGTAGTGATCTTCAGCTGAGAGCCCCGGGGTTAGAACCTGAGAGCCTCAATATCGGCTTATTTTTGTTTTTTTGCAAAGTCAAGATCCCTTGATATATCTGCTCGAGAGCCAACACCAAGAATCCTCAGATGTCAAGATCGTCTCCCGTCTTGATGGATATGACAAAGTTAGGATTCTTCCAAAACGAACCGTGTAATAATCGACATATGTGGTCGGATTTAGACAGGCACTGACAGAATCCAACGGCCCGATATCACCTTGGAGGGTTTTCAGTGCAGGATGTATCTACTAGAAACATGGGCGTATGTAAATAGTGGGGCAAGTGACCCCCTTTTCAAATATAGGACATCTGTTAATACCTATGTTTCTGAACGTTGACAGTCATATGTGAACACAAAATATTGAGAACATGCGATGTTTCCTCACGACACACAAAACACTGCGCGCTTGCACACGCTTA